AGGATAGACACGAAAATTACTTCTTCTATCAAAGTCTGGCGAAAGTTATAGCAGTTTTATATGATCACGGTGTCCCTTTCGGCAGCCATCTTATGTATTTAACAATGATGCAATGCATTTTCGTACGGGTATCAGTTTTAATGGATAGGCCTGACCGCATAAAATTGGGATAGACACCAAAAATCCAACACTTCTATGCAATAAATAGGCTGGGCGAGTTATGCGTCAATTACATGAATTTGACAGCCATTCTGAACCATCTTGAATTTCACCTATCCTCCATGATTCAGAATGTCTACCCAAGTTTTTTTTACTTCCAGGGGTGTCCCCTACATGAATCAAGCGTCAAACTGCGGGGACATATAAATGCACACAGGACTTCCCCCAGCTGATAGACTAGTAGCAGAAGTATACGAATAGCGATCTAGATATTCATGCTATTTTTGTAACAGCAGTAGAAAGTCGTGTCGCGCACTATATTAAAATAAAAAACAGTACATAAAACAAACAGCAGAAATATTACCGTTCTTACGACCGAGGAAAATACGTTCGAATATATTTCATTCGATCATGATATCACGCAGTATCTCGTTATTGCGCGCGGTCAGAGATATTTGGTCCTGTTTCTGACTACCTACACCATATTATATTACATGCTATTTCTTAATTACTATGCCAATTTCACCAACAAGCACGGACAAAAGGGAGAGCCTACACAATGTATATATCTGTTAGCTGTAACTATGTCCCTTATGTAGTATGTTTAGAAAAAGCTTAGGCCATAGCAGTAACATTTTATTGGCAAAACTAGCGGCACCATAGTTAATAAATAATTGTTATGAAATTGTTTCATTGATATGTAAAGACGATGAACTTTTGACGCAGGGATATAGGAATCACATGAGAAACAGCGACGATTATATTATTGCGTGGGCAGATATGGTAATCTAGTGTGTTTCATGTTCATAATTCTTGAGGTTAGTCCTCTATGCGCAAGAAGAGATTGCAGAAGGCAGCCGCTAGCAAGTAAACAGCATTATATGAGATGACTACATAATATGAGATGATATGACAAGCATATATAATTATTATATATATATATATAGATATATAGATATGACAGCATATATAGATATGACAGCATATATATATATATGCATGATATGATATCACAGCATAATATGAGATGCTGTGAGCATGTGACCACACACACGTGACTGTGGTCTAGCCTTGTGTCTTCCTGTGTGAGAGCCCATGTATATTAATGCAATGATTGTTACGCGCGTGTGCGCATCTATTATGTCTCTCTCCCCCTCCTCTCTTCCCCACTCTCTCTGTATTGTGTGTATGTGTGTGTGTGTGTTGTGTGTGTGTGTGTGTGTGCCGTGCGTGAGTGCGTGCGTGCGTGCGTGCGTGCGTGCGTGCGTGCGTCGCGTGCGTGCGTGCGTGTGGTGGTGTGTGTGTGTGTGTGTGTATGTGTATGGTGTGTGTGTGTGTGTGTGTGTGTGTGTAGTGTGTGTGTCGTGTGTGTGTCTGTGTGTGTGTGTGTGTGTGTGTGTGTGTGTGTGTGGATTTGTATTTATTTTGCATTTCCGGGTATAATAGAGATAACTAGCCGGAGCACGACTAACGCCATAAAATACATCTTTAAACTCGTGCCTGATGAAGTTTTGTTGACAGCATCCGATCGATTTAGCTCATTCTGTGCATCATATGTGGTCGATACATGGAAGGTGAGGAGTGTTTGTTTATATCAAACAGCAAACTGCAGAGTATATGTATAATATTATTTAACCGCAAAGCGTGAACAATGTTATATAACTGTGTGTTTTTCGTAAAAAAAGAATTGATTGTAATATATGAACAGGGGTGAAAACAAACTTAGTTATTAAACTAGATATTCTACAATAAAAGGCTGTATAGTAGCTTCTGTTACAGTGTGACGAAATCGCCGAGTCATGTGGTCTCGAAAGGGCACATGTAAAATATACGACACCTTATTTCTATATATTTATGTTAGATGAAAAATACGTCAACGCGATGTAGTGACGGCGAAAGCAGATGAACACGGTCTGACATTACAGAGCTACAGATTTTGTTAGTCCGCATATCGGCCCATAGAACTGAAGAGAGTTCTCGCTTCACTTCTATGTATCGGCCGCTAACCACAGTAACACGCTGTCATGGTGCCACCTATAGGCAGATTATGCATCTAGGTACGTCAGTTGTTCAAGTCGCTCTGCAGAATATAGGATATATAGGAATATCTTAGTGATTAATGTTCCCCCCCCCCCCCATTCACTCACCCACAGGACAACCCCCCCCCCACGCACCACTTACACTCGCACACACACGCGCCGCACTCACCACGCACGCAATCACGCACGTGAAGCACACGAACACACACACGTAGGCGCGCACACACACACATCATTATACACACTCACACACACACACCACACCACACACACACACACACACACACACACACACACACAACACACACACACACACACACACACACACACACACACACACACACACACACACACACACACACACACACACACACATCACCACCCTCATTTACCCTCAACTGCCCTCAAATATCGACATCCATCGTCAACCACCCTTAACTACTAACAAAAATCGCCAACTACTCTCAAACACCAACTACCATCATCCACCACGTTTGTTTACTGTCAACTACACTTAAATTCCGACAACCACTCTTAAACACCAACCACCTTCAAATACTGACAACCACCGACAACCAGCGTCAAAATTGGGACTGGGTAACCCATGTGCATTTGATACTATAAGATTACCTAAAATACAACAATGAAAAATATTACGTAGACTTCATTTCAAGCGCTCGTGACCCTCTCGATACAATGTTGGTGATGCTGTTTAACAAAAAATGTATAATACAGACCAATCGAAAAGTATCCGTAATATACGCCTAGAAATGATCTCGTCGCATTGTCAAGTACAATAACATTTTGTAGCAGCAAGGCTGGTTAATAAAATTTCGCTTACGGCAACTTATTTGACATTATAAATCGCATTCTGAAGTTTCCTAATAAAGATGGCTGCCAATGTACACCAGCGCAATGATGCTAGAACCTAGCGTCTGGTAGAATTTATAGTTATACCATTATTATATAATCATATTTATTGTCTCTGATCTTATGTTTAATACTAAAAATTAATTTATGACTTGGATAAGGCACAATTAAGAGAGAGTAATGATAATATTCTTATAATATCGAATATGCTGTATGACGCTTGCTGACGTTTTCTGATCCAGCTTCCCCCTCGAATGGCAAATTACGTCACATTGTTTTTTAACCCGTCGTCATGGATAGCCGAACGAACAGCATATTAAAATCAGCTTCTTCTTCACAGCGCAGTTATATTTGTCTGCAGAGTTCATCGACCTGCCATGGGGCTAGCTCATCCGTTGCCATGGCTATTATATAAAAACTGTTGTCATGGTAACCCACGCATGGGAGGCAGGCCATCCGGCATGTCGTGATTGCAGGTAGTAGATACCTGTGTCAGCGCGTGCCAGGTACGGAGTCGTGTGTCGGGAGCATGCGCGATGCTGCAGCAGTTTTACCGATCCATGCGCGCGAAATTGCAGCTCGTATTCTAATTACGATGAGAGAGTGTGTGTGTGGGTGTACGCGCGTGTGATATTGCCTTGGAAACCAGCGACGAAGTCACCGGAAAGTGTAAGTGTATACTCGCATTGGAATATGATGTTGGCGGTAAAGGGGTCGAGGCAGTAATGAAGGTGCAAGTGCGTTACGCGGTACTGGCGCGAGTGGGGAGATTTATTCCCTTTTCGGAATAACGAGGAGAGGGTGGCGACGTGCGAGATCTGGGGTGGCTGTCACCACTAAAGGTACGAAACGGGAAGCGTTAGCACATGACGCGTGATTCGGACAGGTAGGTGAATACATACGTGCCAAATGCTGGAGCCCCTCTTCCCAGAATAAACCGATTCGAGGAAGAATCCCCCTCGCGCAGTGTGCGGCGGTGGGGTGGGGGGGGGGTACCAGTGAGGACGAGCGGGAGTACGGGAAAGGAACTGTATACGGTCGTCTGTTTACACACGTATACGTACATATATTGTAGCGCGAACGCTAGACTCGCTGTTTGGTCGATATGGTTAACCGACGCCTGCAGGCACACGCGTGTGTCAGGCTGACAGCCTGACAACGCTCCGCTAAGATGGTGGGTAACCTGTAGATATGTTTCCTTGTCGTCCGAGTCATCATTATTAGACTCGCCATCGAGAAGTCGGATGCAACAACGTGGTTCGAACAAATGGCAAATGATCAGTAGGCGTAAGTTCTGGGATCTGTCTCCGACCGAATTTGTTTGGTAATGCATGATGATTCCTGGAAGCACGGACTCAACATTCGCAAGCACACAACAAAATACTATAAATGTGTACTATATGTTTTGTTTACGGGCTATGCCGAGAACCTAAGACTAAGAGACAATGATTATGTGCTCATCACTGGTCAAGCTAGTTGGATGAACGGACACGATGCTACCATAGACTAAGAATATCTTAATATGATGAAGATACTCTTAGTCTACAATGCTACTCAGCAAGACCAGAGATTTGATAACAACTACAAATAGCAAATACAATGAAACAAAGTAGCCGTGCCGCTGCTCCTGATAGCAAAAATGCAAGCCTTCATTTCGGCGAAAAACATCTAACATATATATATATATATATATATATAT